ATTGTGGATAGATAGATAGATAGATAGATAGATAGATAGATAGATAGATAATGAAAAGACTGAGATAGATAGATAGATAGATAGATAATGAAAAGACTGAGATAGATAGATAGATAGATAGATAGATAATGAAAAGACTGAGATAGATAGATAGATAGATAATGAAAAGACTGAGATAGATAGATAGATAGATAGATAGATAATGAAAAGACTGAGATAGATAGATAGATAGATAGATAATGAAAAGACTGAGATAGATAGATAGATAGATAGATAGATAATGAAAAGACTGAGATAGATAAAATAGATAGATAAATAGATATTTTTGAATTGTTTCAGATAGATTTTGTTAGACATTTAATGAAAATTATGAGATAGATAGATAGATAGATAGATAGATAATGAAAAGACTGAGATGATAGATAGATAGATAGATAGCTAAATAGTGAAAAGATCGAGATAGATAGATAGATAGATAGATAATGAAAATGATGAGATAGATAGATAGATAATGAAAACTGAAATACATAGATAGATAGATAATGAAAAGACTGAGATAGATAGATAGATAGATAGATAATGAACAAGACTGAGATAGATAGATAGATAGATAGATAGATAATGAACAAGACTGAGATAGATAGATAGATAGATAGATAGATAATGAACAAGACTGAGATAGATAGATAGATAGATAGATAATGAACAAGACTGAGATAGATAGATAGATAGATAGATAATGAACAAGACTGAGATAGATAGATAGATAGATAGATAATGAAAAGACTGAGATAGATAGATAGATAGATAGATAGATAGATAGATAGATAGATAGATAGATAATGAAAAGACTGAGATAGATAGATAGATAGATAGATAATGAAAAGACTGAGATAGATAGATAGATAATGAAAAGACTGAGATAGATAGATAGATAGATAATGAAAAGACTGAGATAGATAGATAGATAGATAGATAGAGATAATGAAAAGATAGATAGATAGATAGATAGATAATGAATAGATAGATAGATAGATAGATAGATAGATAATGAAAAGACTGAGATAGATAGATAGATAGATAGATAGATAGATAGATAGATAATGAAAAGACTGAGATAGATAGATAGATAGATAGATAGATAATGAAAAGACTGAGATAGATAGATAATGAAAAGACTGAGATAGATAGATAGATAATGAAAAGACTGAGATAGATAGATAGATAGATAGATAATGAAAAGACTGAGATAGATAGATAGATAGATAGATAGATAATGAAAAGACTGAGATAGATAGATAGATAGATAGATAATGAAAAGACTGCGATAGATAGATAGATAGATAGATAGATAATGAAAAGACTGCGATAGATAGATATGAAAAGGCTGCAATAGATAGATAGATAGATATGAAAAGGCTGCAATAGATAGATAGATAGATAGATAGATATGAAAAAACTGCGATAGATATAAAAAACTGTGATAGATAGATATGAAAAGACTGCGATAGATAGATAGATAGATACGAAAAGATAGATAGATAGATAGATAGATAGATAGATAGATAGATAGATAGATAGATAGATATGAAAAGACTGCGATAGATAGATAGATAGATAGATAGATATGATTAATTTTTACATCAACAGATATGGAAGTTACTTTAGCTCATTAGACTAACGGAAAAACATGGTGGGACAGATAAATTATGTCGCGATTAATATATATGTATAAATTGTGGGTGTGTTTGTGTGTGTGTATGTGTGTTGTAAGTAACGAGAAGATGAAAGGGAGTAAGAGAGTCAACAAATAGAGAGTGAGATGGAAAGTGAGAAATTGAATAACAGATATTGAAAGAGAAAGAATATATTTCCTGTACGATTAGCTGAGTCCACATGCACACGGGCGTTCTCCTGTTGTCTTTCCCTCTTTCTGTTTGTAGATGTGCAAAGCTTCGATACGCTTCTCCTGCCGAACGTGTCAGCTAGCGTCACCAGCTGAGAAATACCGATGCCACTTCAACAGTAACGAGAGTGTTCGTAGCTATGTTTGCGTGCCTCAATAAGACAGCTGTACACAACACAATGCGTATTGTTTCCACTCACGCATGTACAGAAATTCTAGGCAAAAGGGCTTAGTTTTATGATACGGATCCAGATGCATGGGCTCAAGTGTAAAGAAATTTTTTTTTTCCCTATCTCGGGATACTTTCTCTGTCAGAATGGACAGTGTTGCAGAGAGGAATGAATAAAATTCTAATGTGGGGACAAATATTAGAGATGACGTGTCAGTCGTCCTACATGGCAGTGAACGCTGGACAATTATAAAAGAAGCAAAAACTAACAGATAAGTAACAGAGATGTGGTTCTACGAAAGGAATCTGACAATACTATGGACTGCACATGCGAATAACGAGAAAGTTTCAAGGATAACAGAAACGAAAAGGGGGGAATAAAAGAACAAGGAACAAGAAAGAACGAAGCAAAAAGAGAGATTTTTAGGACACATAAGAAAGGAAGAGAGCTTGGAGAATTTGTCACGCACAGGACATATTGAAGGCAAGTGGGATAGACGGTAACATCGAGTAGTCTATCTAACGAACTTGTGTAAATGGATGACAGAACAGGGATTGTTAGACATAATAAAAAGAAACAGTGTTAAAAGCTACAAAATACAGGAAGTTGTGGTTAGATCGCCCACATCCTGAAGTGGACTCACCCCACATAGAAGAAGATATGACAATTCGGTTATGTGAATACATAAACAGACTGATATCAGCTGTCATGATTATGAGGAAATACAGTATGATATATACAAGATATTATACGTCAACTAATCTTTAGTGACCACCATATTTTTTTTTTACGAGATAAGCGTGAACTGAAGAAAAGTTTATACAACTTCCTGTTTAGCTATGGTTGTAGTGGTGGCGAACATTACCCAACAAGGACAAGTGTTATTTACCCTGGTCTCCGCACTGAGACGTGATGTGAAAAAAAAAGGTTGTGTCTAACGTGGGGAAGCCAAGCGATTACACTCGGGCTAAGGACAAAAATTGCCCAGTCCCCGCAACAGTTAGTTGCGCGGACATCGATATCTCTATCGATCCCCACCTTTTTAGTAAAATAGGAGAGAGAGGCTGTAGCCTAGAGCAGCTGTTCCTCGGGACCGGGCACCTTGTTGTATTTATTTTCCTCAGCTGCGTCTCTGACCGCGGACAACTGAATCGCATTCTGCCCAAAAACAGAGGTGGAACTGAGGGGTGATAAATCCTACCCGACAATCTAAGAGTAAGAAAAAAAACACATTAATCCAGGTTTGGACGCCTGGCGTTGAGCAACAATTAGCACTCTCGCTTCGAAAATCATTAAAAGCAAGTGCGTCACTAAAAAAAATGAATTTCTCCAACAAATATCTAGTCCTAAAAATCATTATCGGTGTATTTGCATTATACATAGTATAGACTTATATCCACGGCACTGCTTCCATTAATCTACAATACCTGACAATATTAACTTTGTGATTTTAAATGCATTCTATCGTAAAACCATCATCGGTGCATTTATATAACAAGCCATAGTGCTATACCCTCGTTACCGCTTACATTAATTCACGACCAATGGCCATATCGACTTCATGATGTTCAATGCATTTCTATCGTAAAATCATTAACAGTACATTTACATTATACATATCGTGACCCTATTCTCTCAGAAATGCTGATTTTAATTCTTGACCATGGACATATCCTTTCATCGCGGTTTTCAATGCATATTTATTGCAAAATGTCTTCTTTTTCTTATGTCTGTAAATATATAATTGAATTCAACATTTGAGCTGTAGATATGATCATGAAAATTTTAGTCTCACCCTTTCGAAGTGGCTCCATCTTGTTTCTTTGCACAGGCTCTCAAAAAGTGTACTGCTCTCAAAAGATAAGTGGAAAAATCCGTACTAGATACGGATTGAACAAAGCTTTTCGAAGTGTAAGAAATTTGAGTAAAGCTTTGAATATCATGAATTTCTGTAATTAATAATTAAAAAAAATAAATTTTGATAATACTAGATTGGATGCAAGGTCTCACGAATTCACAGTTGAATTGTCAAAATGTAACCGTAAGTTCTATGTTAACAGTTTCTTTTCTCGCATGTGAAACTCTCTTCCGGCTTCATGCTTCCCAGCCAAATTTGATCTTAAAAAAATTAAATGCAATGTCAATCGTTATCTACTGTTTTCCTGATTATTCTTCTATTGTTTTCGCTCTTTAATAATGTTTCGCTTTTTCTTATTGTTTCACACTTAATAACTCTCTTGTGTCTTAGTGATTTTAATTCCTTGCATCGGGTGATGTGATTTTAGAAAGTGTATATTAAAAATGAGTGTTTTAGAAGAACTGAAAGGTAACGTTTTCATTTACGAATAACTGTCAATCAACGTTTTGGGGGCTTCTATTTGTTTTGTTTTATTTAAATATTTAGTTGTTATCTTCTCTGGCCAACGTGTCTCATCGCTCATGCTTAACATATTCAAGAACGAAAGACAGAAAAAATGGTGCTATAAATCGGGGAAAAAAACGATTTTAAAATACCATTTTAAGCAGCTTTTGTTAAGCCTTATTGAGGAAGATTTTATTTCAATTCCGACGCAAAAATAAAAAGTAATTGTATTCTTTTATTTTCATTTCATTAAAATTTCTACAATTTTCTAAAATCATAAAGTAACCAATCTTCTGTATTTTGCTCCGACTTAAAATTCTTCTACGTTTATTTCGGATGTGCCATTAAAGTCTTCGAGATGCAATTTCGCAATTAAATTACCTCTTTTACTGTTATCATCACCACGACGGCAACGATCATCACCACTACTACTAACATCACCACCACTAACAACAACAACGCAATTATTATCAAGAAAATAAATTCAACAGATATTTGTCAACCAAACAAATATTTGATCGGCATTAATGAGAAATGTTGACAGAAAAGTTTCTAAATCAATAAAGATGGCTGTTGGAAAGTTGGAATTTTAATCGTTGCTTGGCGTTGGTTTTTAGCGACGAGGAACGCAGGAAAATCAGGAAACACGGAAGGGAAATTTAAAAAAAAAATAGAAAAACCTGAAACATAATCCGCGTCGATTACGTCTAAAAAGAATTAGAACTCAGTAGAAATATTTTTTTTTTTTGATTTTTTTGCGCAAAGCCTCAGGAAGAATCGAACTCACGATTAATGTCTTTCCACAACACTAAACATTGCTTCTCTACGAAGTAGCAACAACGACATTAATGCAAAGAGAATCGACTGAACATTCTTGGTGGCTGAGATAGTTGCGTATCTGCTTCAGGTACTAATAGTTGGGAATCATTTTTTTTTTTTTTTTTTTTTGCGAGTCAATTCCCATTTTCTTCGATATAACAATGACCTTTCCAGATACAAGTCCTACTACTGGGTAGGATGGTGGAGTTAAAGTTGATTTCAGATTTTTTTTTTCCCAAAGGTATTTGTGTGTAAGTGTATGTAACGAATGTAATGGCTCATCGATTTCTCATTCACCATCCGCACATACCAAAGAGAAGAGAGTATTTGTTGAAAATTGAATGTAACGATCTCAACCTGAATTCGAACTCACCAATTCCTCGTTCCGAGCCTGTAACCATCACACCTCTTGCACATCCATTGACATATAATAATTAAGAAAATAAAAATTATATTTCATGACTCATATGGAAACCTAATACGTTTGAAGACTTGATAATGCTAATTTAGACGTGTTTTAAAAATGACGGTGTTTTATCGTCAATTTAAAAGCATATTTAAGATAGAATTGATTTTTTTTTTTTTGATAATCAATAATTTACTTATGCCGTAAAAAGGAATCGATACAAATTACTCTCAGATATTCCAAATAAAATCTACTTACATATTTTATATTTTGTCTCTTGATTGCATTTCGTAAATAAATAAATAAATTCAGAACAGCTTTCATCTTTGGTACCTCGAATGTAATCGCAGTACTAGATTGGCAGTTAGGTCTCATCCTTTTATAGCTGAAATCGCTAAATGTAACCGTAAGTTCTACGCTAACAGTTTCTTCTCTTACACTTTTCGCTTATGGAACTCTCTTCTGGATTTTTGCTTTCAACTGAACTTTGATCTTCAAAGATTAAAATGCACTGCCAGTAGTCATCTTCTGTCTCATTGAATTCTGTTCTCTTATTGTCCTCTATCCTTAATGTTTTTTTCAGACTCTTTTACTCTTAGTAACATTTGCCCCCCACCCTGTGTCTTAGTGGCTTTGTCGCCTTGCTTGGTGTTAAATGATTTTTAAAAATGGGCAATGTAACGGATATCAACGAAGGAAGTAGAATATGTAAACTGAGTTCAAAATCCAGATTACTGTTTGGCATTCACTTTCGCACAAATTGGAAAGGCATAAGTGACTTCTCTGCATCTCCCGTTAGTTATAGGTTAAATAGTAGGGCAGACTAGGGTCTTTAATCTCACATGATAACCATTCTAAGAGAAGAAAACGTCTGAATTCCAATCTGTGAAAAATCATTCCACTATCTTGATAATTTATTGCTCGCCTTGTCGACTGGCTGATTTTGTTTAGCGGCATGTCAAACTCTATGGGCTATTTAACGCCGAAATCTAGATATTTTGTACGCAATTTTATGGCTTCAGCTACATGTGTTTTGAACGCAATTTTATGCTTTCAACTACCAATATTTTGTACATAGTTTTATACTTTCAGGTTAAACATATGATTATGAGATTTATAGTCTGTAAATGAGAAAATGTATTGTTGGTAATTTGCTTTAAATGTACTGCAAGCAGTTTCACCACAAAAATGTTTTGTTGGTAATTTTCTTTAGAAAAATGTATTCATGTAATATA